AGTCAGACTAACCATATGTCAACACAAACACAGAATGTTACTGGAAGGTACAGCTGCCATAGTGCCAGTGGACCGCACTGTCATTAGAGTGAGAGAGAGAGATGACTGGTGGTGGTTTCACTTGAGGGTCACCACGCCTCAGGCAATGGCTGAGGTTGAAAAGCAAAGTCCTTTATGGTTACCTCACTGGAACTGAACCATACTGTTGGTATCACTCTGCATTGCAAAGCAGCCATCCAGCCAACTGAGTAAACCAACTCTCCACGAGCAAACTATGACATCCAATAAAGGAATTTTTGAGAATGAAAAAGTAGCTTCTCAAAGCCAAACAGTAGCCCTTGAGCAAGTCACAAGAATTCACCCCATAGATTTAAATGTGTATGTATTTGTATTTGAAGATACTTTTTGTTTTATTCAAAAAGCACACAATTTATAGAAAGTCAGTCAAAGTGGCATTTTATAAATTCCTACTTTAGAAATAAAACCAGTCTGACTCCAAAACAAAACACAAACAGATTCTAAACAAGGCCTCACACCTAATATGCATTGTCTGACCTAAAATGTCACCTCTTCTTTACACAGATAAAACCTTTATCTCTCAGGGCAGTGACTTGAAAAAAATTCGGGGATTTACATATATATTAATCAATTAAAACCTTCTAAATGATTAAGGATTTAACAGCATCTTAGGTTTGTTTAATACATCCTCATCAGTGGTGTGACCCTTTGATCTTTTACTTATAAATTCTATATCTGATTCAACCTCTCTCACTAACACCTGAAGAAGCAGTAAGGCTTCAAAAGCTTGTGATTTCAAATAAACCTGCTGGACGATAGCCTGGTGTCGTGTGATTTCTGACCTTGATGGAGTGAGGTAGCAAAGGCTCAAGTTAAAGCATGACTACTAGCAGGGACCTATTGAGCCAAATGACCCACTTCTATGCTGTCAATCCAGTGAGAGAATTAATATGTTGAATTATTTTTAAAAAAGGCACTGGTTTGAAACAGTTGCTTTAAATAGGAAGCAACTTAAGTTCCTAACCCAGGTTTGTTCTATTTGAAGACCAGATGTTCATGGAAAACTGTGAGGTGCATTTAAGGACAAGATTTAATGTCAAGGAAGCAATCCAGGCACAGAGTCAACTTCGAAATTAATCTGAGAATCTCAATGAGAACTAACCATACAGATAGTAAAACAGGGCACAACCAGTAAAACATTAAATTGAGCCAATTTCTCAAAAGATACTGATAAAATCTATCTGGAATCGAATTGACAGGAATCCTATTCACAGTAAAATATCTTTCTGATTCATAAACTTTGTGTTATATTCAAAACATTAAACATTAAAGTAACACCAGCAGCCAGATAAACTTCACATCTGAAGTTAAGTACGTGTCTTGAGGCCATAGCACCAACTGTGAAAGATAATCAATGTTCTTGTACTTAAACCACTAGGCGAGCTGTTAAACTGAAGAGAACAGAGGTTTCCTTAATGAGGGAAAAACCTTTCCAAGTCTCTCAAACACTGCAGTTCGATTAATAACAGCTCCATATTTCAACATCGGTGGAGGCATTGCTTGTAATCTCATTTCTCCAAAACTAGTTTCTCTCATTTGGGCTCACAGCAGTTAAATGAGGAGGTTGGAGGAAGTGATTGCAAAATGCAACGCATCATCTGACGCCAGTTCTGGGAAAGGGAGAATGGTAGTAGGCGTTGAAAGCACACTTGTGTATGAAACAGACAGATGATTATATAGGTCCTTGCCAAAAGCCATAGGGCTAACAATCCCACTCCACTTTGATAGGCTGAGTGGCCTTATGTGATGGCTCTGCAACTCTGCAATCTTCTTTCCATTTTGGTGTGAAGTTAATACTGTCTTTGCCACTGGGAGATGGTGAAAAAACAGCTGGCCAACACTGAAACCTATTTTGTACTCAACTTTGGGAGTTGAGCTAACATTTGGACTTTGACAAAAAGTGGATTTAAGGACTCAGAATTAGCAGGGAGAGGATCTATAGTCAGGGAGTCAACGAGGCTGGCCAGGTAAGTGTCATTGATTTGGAGTGCAGTCTATAGATAGTACAGTTCGGAGGGAACGAATGACCCTTTTCCTATTTCCATACCTCTTCAGCTGCTGTGACCTACACAGAGACACACATTTGTTCACAGAAGTTTCCTTTGAGGCCCATGGTGGAAGTTCAAACATATCTTGTTTGAGTTACAAATACCCCTGAGCAACAAGAGGTTACAGCTGGGTGTACAGTGCCCCTTGGCCTTGCACCAACTGTCTGTTAGTTGGCAAATGAAACCAGGTTCAAGGAGGGCCATTTAACACTGCTGGCAGCGTGATATTGGAAAACCATCCCCCAACTCTACTCTCATTGTGCTGACTTATTGCTGACGAGTAAGTAAATACGGTTTAAAAGAGGTGTTCAGTAACTGGCTGTGTTCTGCCGAAAGCAAGATCGATTTACAACTGGCCCTCTGCCCATCTGACTAATGTTCTGGCCCAGAAAGCGGGTGTAAACACTGAATGCTTTCAGAAAGTATTTCTTCATCTGTTTCCCTGACAAAGCGTTTAACTCATCTTACAAAATCACACCATCTCAATGGAAGATGGAAGCCATTCACAGCGATACAGGAACAGCAGTGGGCCATTCTGTCCCTTGAGCCTATTGCACCATTCAACTAGATTACAGCTGATCTCAAGTTCATTTACTCATTAAGGATCAATCTACATCCACAGGGTCCATCTGAGCTATCTGAGTTCATCCCTCTATGACGACTGCAGCTTATAATTGTGTTCTTTGAACAATTGCAGGCGCTCTGTCTCCATTACTCAGACTGGAAGTTGCTCTACACATTGATCAGTCCCTATGTTCCAATTTGACTCCCTTACCCAAAATGGACGGTAATAACTTCAGGATAGGGCAGTGACCTTCCCAATCCTTTACCAATAGAGACTGTGACTGGTGCCACTTGTAATGGATTCCCTTTGGGCATGGAAGTGGACCCTGACTGCCATTTTAAGGCAGAAACTAGTTAAAGACAAAACGGGGCCGCCATTTGGCAATGGAACAGAAATGGTTCACCAGCAGTAAAGCTTGGAGAGGAGCTACTGTTTCTCTGGGACAATAACCCTCAGGAATTGCGATTATCCACCCCCCCAACTCATCTCACTGCCCATGCCAATGACCTATCTTCCTGCTAACAACCTTTTGACAATGAGAATCAGCCTCATGATTGAATGTCTATCTCCCTTGTGTCTCACTAATTGGAACTGGGTGAAATATTGAAGGTGCTGCTTGACCAGAGCACTGTACAGTTTGATCATTATCTACTTCCTATGACCATGTGTAGCTCATCAGGCTTTGCTGGTTACCATGTTTGAGGAACAGCTTTTGTGCTAAATCTGTTCAGCATTTTGGTCCTTTTCCCTCTTAACTATTGTGACACCACTTGTGGAATATGTTCTTTATTTTGTCTTTTTGTTGTGCAGTGTTTTTTACTCGTCGACATTAAATTTCAATCGCCTTTCCTTGGTGGACTTAATGAAGAAAAATCTATTCATTGTCGAGAGGCTTTCACTGCCCTGGGCGCTGCAGAGTGTCTTAAAATGTCATCCGTCTCTCAAAGTCAGCACTGTCTAGTGTATAACACCGGTGCCATACTGAGGGAGTCCTGAACTGTCAGGGATGCTGTTTTCCAGATGAGACCTTAACTTATTCCATTAAGAGAGATAGTAGAAACTGCAGATGCTGGAGAATCTGAGAAATACAAGGTGCAGAGCTGGATGAACACAGCAGGCCAAGCAGCATCAGAGGAGCAGGAAAGCTGACGTTTCGGGCCT